CGCTGATCCCACATTTCTGATCCCTTTTCTCTGGACACAGCCCCCATTTCTTTGCCAGGACATCCACGGATGTGGGATCCTTCTCCCTCCTTGAGGAGTGTAAGGTGAATTTTATTCTCCTTTTTCTCCATAAATAAAAGGGAAAAGACACTGGGAGCAGCATTCCCAAGCTGATGAATCCCAGTACCTTTTGGTACCCCCAGAAATTCGGCCCAGAAGCTGAAATTTCTTGATGGAATTTTTGGGACACTCAGGCAGTTTTGCAGAGGGGCTGCTGAGGCAGATCCTGGCTCTCCCTCACAGCCCCTTTGACCTCTCACGCTTGAAAATTTGGGATCAGAAGCAGGGCCTTGGAGGGTTTGGGATCGAAAGCAGGGCCTTGGAGGGTTTGGGATTGAAAGCGGGGCCTTGGAGGGTTTGGGATTGAAAGCGGGGCCTTGGAGGGTTTGGGATCGAAAGCAGGGCCTTGGAGGGTTTGGGATCGAAAGCAGGGCCTTGGAGGGTTTGGGATTGAAAGCGGGGCCTTGGAGGGTTTGGGATTGAAAGCGGGGCCTTGGAGGGTTTGGGATTGAAAGCAGGGCCTTGGAGGGTTTGGGATTGAAAGCAGGGCCTTGGAGGGTTTGGGATTGAAAGCAGGGCCTTGGAGGGTTTGGGATTGAAAGCGGGGCCTTGGAGGGTTTGGGATTGAAAGCAAAGCATTGGAGGGTTTGGGATTGAAAGCAAAGCATTGGAGGGTTTAGGAGTGAAAGTGAGGCCTTGAAGGACTTGGGATTGAAAGCAGGGCCTGAAAGCGTTTGGGATTGAAATCCTCCCATGCCATGTGGGGGATTTGTAGGAGAGATTCTTGAACACGGAGATTTTTGATTTGTGGGGAAATGCAGATCTTGGGATTAATTTTATTCTGAACTTGACTGGAAATGCTGGAGTTTCTCATAATCCTTTTTTTTTTGGTAACATGGAAAAATCCCAGGTAGGGACAGCCCCTGAAGGTGCATCATGACAAGAGCCAAGGATCCCAAATGATCCTTCCATTTTTTCCAGCAGATTTTTTTTTTTTTTGAGAATCATTCGAATTTCAGTGTAAGAGCCTTTGGCAAAGGCGCCTCATTCCTTTCAGCCTGGAGGCTCCAGCTCCTGTTCCCAGACTCCCGTTGGAGTGCCTGGATTCCTCCAGGATGGAGCCTTCCATGTGCTCCATTTCCAAAAAAACGAGGGGGAGAAAAGGAATCAGTTCTTTGCTGTGTGCAAGGCCCGAACCTTTTATAAACAGAGTGTCCGGGTAGGAATGGGATTTTTTGGAATTTTCTCTCCTTTTGTGGTGCCTTTCCAACTTTTTTGCTGTGTTTTCCCTTTGTTCATGCTCCCAGTACCAGGATGGCCTCTTGCCCATGAACCACCTCCAAAAATATCCCAGTTTCTAATCCCGCTGGAGCACAGGAATGGGCTCTGGAGAGGGGCAGACATCCAGGATAATGTGGTGATGGGGCAGGGCTGGGACAAACACAGCCTGGCCTTTGGAAATGTGGGAAGAGTTAGGATGAATCCAGGTTGAGATGTTGCTTTGGATGCTTCCCGACGTCTCCTGTCGGCCAAACCTCCGGCAGGTGCCAAATTGGTTCCTGAAAACATTTCCTGGCTCATCCTGCCTCCCTTTGGTCAGGCCAGCAGCCCCAGGCTGGATGGGGATGCAGGTGGCTGATCCCAAAATTTCAGTTTTCCTCCTGGAGGGGAGGAACAGAAAGCTCCATTCCCTCTTTTGGGAGCCAGGTGGGAGCGAGGAGCCTGGAAATCATGGATGGCCAAAGGCAGGGATTGGTGCTGGTGCTTTGGGTAGGAAGGAGAAAGCCGTGGAAAATGTGGTCCCCCACACCCCAACCAGGCATGGAATCACTGCTGGAGCTCACAGAATTCCCTCAAATTCCCTGGCTGTGGTGTAAGGATGGGGCTGGGGCATTCTCCAGCTGGGGCTTGGGGGCGCTTTGCTGTCACGTGGAGCTGGAGCTGAGGCACTGGGAAGGCATTTTCTGCCTTTGGAAAATCATAAATCCTTAAATATCCTTTTTCCATGTGAGATGGAGTGGGAAGGTTCCGGCTGGGTGGTGGGGTGTCCATCAATGTGGGTGTAGGGTGGAAATGAGCGTCCTTGGATGGACCAGATCCCCAGATTTGGCTCTTTTGGGACATTCCCCAACATGGAAAAACTCTTTCCAGCATCCCCAAAAACTCCTGGCCCTGCTGCGAGCCCTTGTGGCTCCACCGCAGCCGGGCTGCGGCATCTCAGGGTTAACAAAGCTGAGCTTAGAGACGATTTTGCCTCTTGGCAGCTCTGGAACAACTTTTTCTTGCCCCGATTCTCCTCGGCTTTGCCTGGATTCGCTCCTGGAGCAGCCGAGCCGCTCGGCCCGGCTTCACTAGAGGGCGCAGGAATTTTAGGCTAGGAACGCGCCGGGCTTCGTCGGGGAAAGTTGGCTGCCTTCTCCTCCTTTTTAATCAACTGGAAAGATGCAGGGTTGAACTGGAGGTGACTGGAAGGGGATCCAGACTTGTGTCTGGCCGGGGAAGGATCTGCTGACATGTGGGATTAGACGGAGCAGCGCGGCCGGGGCTCGGGCCGTGCTCGGGAGCTCCAGGGCGCAGCCAGCTGGAGGAGCCTCCTGGCGCGGGGAGAGCTCCCAAAAATTGCGGAGAAAGAACAAAATCCCCCCCCCCACCCCCGGTGCTTAACCTCCCCCTTGTCAGGCCTGCGCCGACCCCATGGGGAGGGGTTCGGTTTTCTCTTCCAAAGGATCTCCCCTTCTGTTCACACCAATCCTTAGGGACAGGATCTTTTCCTCTTAGGAGGATCCGGGGGTGTGGGTCCAGCCCCCCACACCTCGGCAGATGTTCTGGGACCAGAGGCACGTCTGGGGCCGAGTCCTTTCTTCAGGGAGCAGGGGGTCCCCAGGTGCTCCTCCTGTGGGGAATGCAGGGAAGGACGAGGCCAGGAGCCCCCAGAGGTCACCTCCACTGGGGTGGTGGCTCCCAGCAGGGATGCAGACCCCGTGCTCCTAAAGCAGAGATTGTCCCCTCACTGGCCCTGCTTCCATCTGGGGAAACTGAGGCACGGGAAATGTTTCGGGACATTCACTGGGAGCCTCTGCCCTTATTCCGTTGTTCCGAGCTGCTCAGCATGGATGAAGGGCAGGTGAGAGCTGGGTGGGGACACAGCAGTGTCCCTTTGCCGGGTGGTCTTGTCTCCATCCCTGTGGAAGAGCTCATGGATCCTGGCTCTGCAGCAAACCCGGTGTCCTGCCCATGGACAAAGGAACTGTCCATTCCCTTCTTCCCATTCCCCTCCTATTCCCTTCCCACCTCCCACCTTCCTCACTCCCTCCCCACCTTCCCCACGCAGCCGAGGGTCTCAGCTTTACCCCCCCCCCAGCTTTTCCTGCCCGAGCAGCTGCTTTTTCCAGCGGAAAAAGCCTGAACGCCGCTGCCTTTCCCGGCTCTGGATGGATGCAGGCAGGAGGCGGCCGCCGCCGCCCCGTCCCGCGCCCTCGCCGCGCTCTCGCTCCCCGCTGTTCATTCATTCATTCATTGATTCCTCCTCTCATTCATTCATTCATTCATGCCTCGGCTCCGCGCGGCCATCCAGGGATGGTTCCCTGTCCCCGGGCTCGGATTCCCTTCCCTGTCCATCCTCCCATCCTGGGATTTCCACGGGCCGCTCCTCGCCGGGCGCTGGGTTTCACCGGGGGCTCAACCTGGGGCGTCGTGAAGCGGCTCTTGTGGAGGCCCCTGCGCGGAGCTGCGAGGGGACAGAGGTGTTTTTTCACCAAACAAACTCCCAGGGAACGCCGGGCATTAGCAATGAGGGGTCGCAGCCAGGAAAATATTACCTTTCCCTTGGAGTGCTGACTGCGGAGGAAATTCTCACATTTACAGCTCCGGCGAGCCCGGCGCTCATGGAAAAGAGGGGGCGGCTTTGATTTCGCTCCTCTCGGTGGGTTGATAACTTTGGCAGCCCCCCCACCTCGCCTCCATTCCCGCTGGGAAGCGGCCACCGGTGGAGGCTCCGGCGCGCAGCTCCCTCCTTGGAGTCCTGGTTTAATTGGATTTTCCTGGAGGCCTGCGGTGCGTGTGCGTCCTGCCCCGTGCGTGTGTGTAGGTTAATAAAAAATAAACAAACAGCACTTTCCCCCCTCGCTCGGCGAGGGATGAGGCGGGAATGCCGAATGAAAGCGCTGCTGTGCCGGGAAGGGACATTCCTGGCATTGCTGAGCTCCTCGGAGCGGGCCCGGGCCCAAATTGGAGGAAAAAAATTGGAGTAAGGAGCCGTTAGCGTGGGGGACCTGGGGAGGCCCAGTCCTGCTCACTGTTTACTCGCAGGGCTTAAATTAACGCTGGCTGCTGACATCAGGAATTTTTTTTTTCCCTGGTTTCCCAAGGAAATGAGCCGAGGGCGATCGCGGCCTCTGCGTACGTGCAGCGGCTCTTCCCCGCTTGAACCCCTGTCGGAGTTCAGCCAGACTCCACAGAGATCCTAAAGGCTCCAAAATAATTATTTTGCTTCGTTTTGCATCCGTGAACAAAAAAAAAAAAAAAAAGAAGGAAAAGGTGATGGAGAGGTGGGAGGAATTGTCAGTGCTTCCCGTTGGGAGAGTTGTGTTTTCCCCTTGTGTTTGTCCATGTTGGATGCTGGAGAATCCCTGTGAAAGAGGTGCGTTAATGACACCCAAGCCATGGGATCAGAGCTGGGATCCTTTGGACATGGAAATGTTTCTCTGTCCCTCCTGCCACACGTGGGATGGAGGAATCCCTCCCACCCCAGTTTGCTCCGTTATTCCCCGTCACTTGTGACAGTCATGGTGGGAATTTCAGGAAGAGCTGGTGTTTCTGGCAGCTCTATTAGGAACGGGATGAAGAGTTTGGAATGGTGTCCCACCTCCTCGTGGGACACCTTGGACAAGGCCCCGTGTGCTGGGGCCTGCGGACAAACCTCTCCTCGCTGTTTCCCGTAGGTTTTCTCCAAGATTTTCAGCCACGAGGCTCTGGAGAGTTACCTGCCCAAGATCCAGCTGGTGATCAAGGACACGCTGCGGGCCTGGAGCAGCGAGCCCGAGCCCATCAACGTGTACCACGAGGCGCAGAAGCTGACGTTCCGCATGGCCATCCGCGTCCTGCTGGGCTTCCGCATCCCCGACGAGGAGCTCGGACGCCTCTTCGAGGTCTACCAGCAGTTCGTGGAGAACGTCTTCTCCCTGCCCGTGGACCTGCCCTTCAGCGGCTACAGGAGGGTGAGCTTTGGGGCGGGGTCTCTATGCTGACAGCGCCAATTAATTAATGGGAGGTGATTAATCCGCGCCTTTCCCCATTCGCGGGGGGATTTCTCATCTCCTGACCTCAAGGACTCTGTTTTGGGCCACAGTTCCTGAATTAGTGGAGAAGGCAGGGGAAAATCTGTTCCTTGATAGCAGGAAATAGTCAGGAGTTGCCCAGATTTAATTTGTGTTTTTCCTCATTTGGCAATTTGCCTGTGTTTTTTTACTTTGTGGGACCCTTCTCCTTTTAATTCCTTTGGAGTGAAACAGGTCCTTGTAATTCCAGGCGCTAAAATACACCCTTGTAATTCCCAAAACTAAAACAGGCCCTTCTAATTCCTGGAGTATTCCAGTTTTTATGATGAAAGATGCAAAATGAAAACATGACAAAAAATGAAAACATAACAAAAAATAGACATAAAATCATATTTTTTTCCCATGGGGGAATTTTGATAACAGAAATAGGGGGGGTTCAAAATTTATTTTTCTGATATCCCTGCATATTTTTTTTTTTTATTGCTGTTTGCCCATGGGAACGATTCCATCCCCTCGGAGCCCGGAATCGTTCCCAGCAGCAGGTTAGCCCCGAGCAGCTGCACTCCCGTAGGAATTGCTTTACTGGGACCAGGTGATCAAATTGCTGGGGAAGGGGATTCTTTGGGATGAATGGGCTTTCCTTTGAGAGACGATTTTCCCAGGGATTTCCATACATCCCAGGAGGAGCCGGGGGCTGTGAACCAGTGCCGGACAGGGGCTCCCAGCCCAGACCTGTCATTTACACCTAGGTGTTGATTACTCCTCCTGTGATCTCCCCCACTCCGGCTTTACTCCTCCGGCCCAGGGGACACCTCCAACATCTTCACACCCTTCTTTGAGCCTCTGCTTTTATGGCTCGGACCTGTCCTGGGCACGTCTGCAGCTCCTGGGATGGGCAAGGTGCTGCTGGTGGTGACGTGGTCTGAGCGCTTCCTGCTCCACAGGGAATCCGGGCCCGGGAGACGCTGCAGAAGGGGCTGGAAAAAGCCATCCAGGAGAAGCTGCAGAACACACAGGGCAAGGACTACGCCGACGCCCTGGACATCCTGATAGAGAGTGGGAAGGAGCACGGCAAGGAGCTGACCATGCAGGAGCTGAAGGTAAAGCCCTTCCCTGGGGCCTCCTTGGGATTGTTCTGCTCAGGGCAGGGCCTTCCTGAAGGGAAAAGTGAGGGATGATCCCAGGAGGAATTTCTGGGGCAGACCTGAGAGCTGGGGGACCACGATGTGTTTGTTGGTGGATGCAAACCTGTTGCTTCATTCATTTGCTGGTTGTGCCCAGCCCTTTCTACCAAGCGTTCCATGGAATCATCAAGCTTGGAAAAGGCCTCCAAGGTGACCAAGTGCAACCTCCATCCCCACTAAACCATACCACAAAATTCACCATCCATTCAGTTTTTGAATACTTTCAGGGATGGTGACTCCATCCCTGTCCCAGGCAGCCTCCTCCAATGCTTGGCCCCTCTTCCAGGAAGGAAATTTTTCCTGATATCCAACCTGAACCTCCCTGGTCGCAACAGAAGCCTTGGTCAGCTGCATCCCCTGACCTTTCCGCTCCTCCTGGCGCCTCCTTTGCAGGGCACAGGAGCCCCACAGCAGGTTCTTATCTGCAGCAGGGCCATGGAATGCCAGGAGCCGTCTCCTGGGCTTTTGTCTGATCCTTGGAGGTTCTATGTGAAGATCCTGGTGGTGGCACCGTCCAAGGAGTGACCTTCCAGTTAAACGTGACCAGGCTTTGGCTGCCTCTGGAAGTGTCCAAGGCCATTAACAACAGACACAAACTCTGCCCAGATTTCCCTCATCCATCCTGGTGGGTGGGAAATCACCCAGGAGAATCCATCTCCCTTTGGAGGCCACGTTCCATTTTTCCCTCTCCCAGCTTCGTGATGTGATCCTTCCTCAGGTCACATGGCCCCGTTAGATCTTAAATCTTTGGAGCAGCTGTTTTTTGGGAGAATCTGTGGCTGCTCCATCCCTGGGAGCACCCAAGGCCAGGTTGGATGGGGCTTGGAGCACCCTGGGACAGCAGGAGGTGTCCCTGGGGATGGAACAAGGTGATCCCTGACTTCCATCCAACCCAAACCATTCCACGATTCTGAGGCCAGGCTGGAAATCGTTTGGGGAGAAGAACACCCCATGGCACCTCGAGGTGCTGAGGTTGGTGCCTCCTTGTTGGAGCCCAGGAAATTCCTCTGGCTGCCCCGGAGGGCCCGAGCCCCTGCCCGGGTGGCCCAGAGACCTTGGCACAGAGCCCCAGACCCCTGTGCCTTTGATTTAGGCCTTAAAAAAAACAATCACCAACCTTAGATGAAGAATGACAAGCCACAAAATTTTAAGTAGAATGATAGTGAATTTATCACGGAGTGAAAAAATAGATTTTTGGGGTTTTTAGCATGGGGGTTCAGGGGGCAAGATGGAGGGTTCTGGGTGTGTCCAGCCTTTCTCCTTCTTCTTCTTGGCCTCCATCTTCTGCTGTGGTGGTGGCACTTTTAGATTGGTTCAGAGTAGAAGCTCACTGTCTAACATGAGTGATAAGTGTTAAAAAGTAATTGTAAATATTGTACACATGGTTTTTAGCACAAAAAAATAACACCGCTGTGGGGGCAGGCAGAGTGCCTCTGACTGTCTTGCTGAGCAGACCTCAGCAAGTCAAAAGAAAAAATTTTATAGATAAGATACAACAAAAAACCTTAAACCTGAGAAATGAAAAGCTCTAACTCCTTCTTCAAGCACCAAGCTAAGAAAGGAGACTTTCTAACGCATCACGAAGTCACTGTGACCAGCTAAAGTCCCCAAAGCCCCTCTGCCCCACCCCTGTGTGTGATGGTGTTCACTGGGGTCTGGGAATGAGGGAAGAGATGAGGATCTGACTCCATGTTTCAGAAGGCTTGATTTATTATTTTATGATGTGTATTACATTAAAACCATACTAAAAGAATAGAAGAAAGGGTTTCATCAGAAGGCTGGCTAAGAATAGAATAGGAAAGAATGATAACAAAGGCTCTGTCTCAGACTCTCTGTCCGAGCCAGCTGGGCTGTGATTGGCCATTAATTAGAAACAACCAACATGGGCCAATCCCAGATGCACCTGTTGCATTCCACAGCAGCAGATAACCATTGGGTACATTTTGTTCCTGAGGCCTCTCAGCTTCTCAGGAGGAAAAATCCCAAGGAGAGGATTTTCCATGAAAGATGCCTGCCACACCTGTGTCTCACCCTGCCCTTCCTCCTGCCCTCCAGGACGGCACCCTGGAGCTCATCTTCGCCGCCTACGCCACCACGGCCAGCGCCAGCACCTCCCTGATCATGCAGCTCCTCAAACACCCGCGGGTGCTGGAGAAGCTGCGGGAGGAGCTGCGGAGCAAAGGGATCCTCCACAACGGCTGCATCTGCGAGGGCTCCCTGCGCCTCGACAACATCAACGGCCTCCAGTACCTGGACTGTGTCATCAAGGAGGTTCTGCGCCTCTTCACCCCCATCTCCGGGGGCTACCGGACGGTGCTGCAGACCTTCGAGCTGGACGTGAGTAGCGCTGCACCCCGAGCTCCCCAAAACGGCCCAGCTCGCTTGAGCCTGGCTTAGAGGAGACCTCTGAGGGGATGAACGAAGTCCTGCCTAATTAAGTCCTTCTCCCAGGCAATCAGTGGCAGGACAAAGGGACACAGCCTTAAGCTGCACCAGAGGAAGTTTAGGTTGGATTTAGGGAAAAAGTTCTTCCCAGGAAGAGTGGCTGGGCGTTGGAATGGGGTGAGGTGGTGGAGTCACCGTCCCTGGAGGGGTTTAAGCCTGGATGTGGTGCTCGGTGCCACGGTTTAGTGGATGAGGTGGTGTTAGCTGACAGCTTGGACTTGATGATCTCCAAGGCCTTTCCAGCCTAATTAATTCTGTGATTCTGGCAATGGGATTTGCCCCAGATCCAGCAGTGATGGGATGTGGAGCTGTCAGAGGGCAGACGGGTGTGATGCTCCAAAGCCCAGCTCGTGACAGTGACGCCAAATTCTGAGCTGGGGTGTGACAGGGGAAAGGTTTACAGCAAAGGGCATCTCCAGGCTGCCGGATGACAGGCGGATTAGTCACCACCATGGCTGGAATTTCCTCCCAGCAAAACAAAATCTCGGGAGCTGCCTTGTCACTGTAAATCCTCCTAATGCAGTGGTTTGAGTCAGAGACCTTTTAAAGTGCTCAGGGGATGATAAATCCACCCCATTTCTCATCGCCCGGGCCCCGGTGTGGGTGTTGGGTGTGTGGTGCTGACAGGCAGCGGGGTGTGGGATGCTGTGGGGTCCTCTGGGATGCTCTGGGAAGGGCTGGCTGATGTGTGGGGCACAGCACAGGAGAAGCTGCTTCCCCTGCTCAGCACCACGGGGTTCCTGGTAGGCAGCTCCTGCCAGTGACCACAAAGCAAATAAATGGATGGATCATCCCACGAATCTTTGGGATGGAGGGAGGAATAAAGCCAGGATTTGCATCTCTTTGTGCTGTGCTGTCTGGTTTTCCTTTAAATCTGCATCACACTTGAGGGATAAACCCAAAATAAATGGGAATAAGCAGGGAAAACTGTGAGGGTGGCACGGCCTGGCACAAATTGCCCAGGGATTGTGGATGCCACATCCCTGGAAGTGTCCAAGGCTGGATGGGGCTTGAAGCACCCTGGGGTGATGGAAGGTGTCCCAGCCCGTGGAGTGGGGTGGGACAGGATCCGTTTAGGGTCCCTCCCGACCCAAACCATTCCATCCTTCCACGCAAGCAAAATTCCTTTATCTCATCCCCCTGAGATAAGATATCTCAATCCTCCCTCTCCAGCAGGACTGACCCACTCCGCTCTCCTCTCCTCCCCTTCCCGCCTCTCCGCAGGGTTTCCAAATCCCCAAGGGCTGGAGTGTGATGTACAGCATCCGGGACACCCACGACACTGCCCCTGTCTTCAAGGACGTGGACGTCTTCGACCCCGACCGCTTCGGGCAGGGCCGGAGCGAAGACAAGGAGGGCAGGTTCCACTACCTCCCCTTCGGAGGAGGCGTACGGACCTGTCTGGGCAAGCACCTGGCCAAGCTCTTCCTCAAGGCCCTGGCCATCGAGCTGGCCAGCACCAGCCGCTTCGAGCTCGCCACCAGGACTTTCCCCAAAATCACCCTGGTGCCCGTGGTCCACCCGGTTGACGGACTCAAGGTCAAGTTCTTCGGACTGGATTCCAACCAGAACGAGATCCTGACGGGCACAGACGCCATGCTGGGGGCCACCGTGTAAAGCCCGCGCCGCCGGTGGCACCAGGGACGGGCGGCCGGGGGAGGCAGGGGTGGGGTGGGGGCGAGGGGATGGACAGGAGGGGAGCAGAGAGGGATATGAGGAGCTTCTCCACGGCGCTCACCTCCGGATCGGGACTGCTTTTCCAGCAGGGAAGCTGCCGGAAGCGTTTTGCTCTTCCCGCGGGACGCGGAGAAGGTCGGGGCAGAGGAGCCTTGTTTCGTCGGGAAGGAGGAAGATCCACAAAAGCCGAGTCGAGCTGGGATGGCCGACCATACACAGTATCTAATTATTATAAATATATATATATAAATATCTATAAAACACTTCTGCTGCCAGGAGGAGAAGGCCCAACTGCGGGAAAGGCTTGGAATCAGCCGAGGATCTGAGGTCTGGTGTCCCGGGGCAGCTCTGGGGTGACCTCTGACCTTTTTTTTTTAACAGTGTTAAATTAGCTGGTGATAACAGTGTTTTTATGTTTTTTGAGGTGTTTTTTTTTTTTTTTTCTGGTTGGTTGTGTTTTTTTTTTTTTCATTTGTTTGGTTGTGTTGTTTGTTCCGGAGCGTTGGAGCCTTTCCTTGGCCGGGGGGAGACAACGCTGCCCATTCCCAGCCCCTCTCCCGCTGGTGCCGGGGCAGGCTGGGGAGGAGGAGGGGTCGTTTCCCTTCCCAAAAAACCCCTCCTGTGGTGTCTTGCCCGGGGCTGAGTCATCCCCCAGGCCTCAGGAAAGGCAGATTTGTATTTTCCAAGATGTTTTGAGGCTCTGGGGAGGGGGATGCCCTTTTTTTATCTCTCGTTGAGTTTCCTGCTGCTGCTACCCGGCCTGTGAGCACCCCCTCCTCCGCAGCCCCCCGCCAGCCCTGGGCACAGGCACCCGGCTTTGGGGACATTTCGGTGCCTTTGCTGTCCCCTCAAGGTGCTGGCACCAGCCCCCGACCCCAGCACGGCTCTGGGAGCGCCGGGGCTGCTCCTGCCAGGGGCATTTGCATTAAAGGTGATCTCTCGAATTAAGCCAATGCACGCATTTGTTTGTCTCGTGATTGGGGTATTTTGGCAACGGGAGAGCTCAGCAGGAAGGAGAGGGCTCCGTGTCAGCTTCCACCTCGCATCCCAGGAGAATTCCAGAGCCTCCCAAGCACCAGCCAGCAGCCACCAAGAGGTATCTTGCCTTCTGTTTGCTGGGGGGGTTATTTTATTTTGGTTTTCTGCATGAAAGAGGCTTCTGGGCTGAGTCGGAGATTTGGAGGTTTGGGTTCGGAGGGTGTGGAGCAAAAGTTCCCCGAGCACCTGGGCAGGTGTTGGGTTCCAACCAGAGCCAAACTCCAGCTTGGGAGATCCCTCTGTGACTCGGGGCAGCTCTTCCAGCCCATCCAGCCCCACTCCTGTCCCATCCCAACCCTCCGAGGTGGAACGGGCGACACGAGGAGGCCGAGAACGGTGACGGGCACCGACCCCATGCTGGCGGGGGCAGCTCGGCTGTCGGCTCCACAGGGGTCCAGAGAAGTCCGAGGGCTTGGAAAGGGGAAGGAGAAGGGGCAGGTGTGGCTCACCAGGTGGCTTTGCAGGTTGTGCCTTTGCCTCTTTGGCAAGAGGTGCCTCTCGGGAAGGTGGCGGGAAGTGTGAAGCGAGCGGAGGCGAGGCCGCCCTGGCCGGCGCGGCGCTGGCGGGGGCAAGGAGGAGGGAGGCAGGTTTGGAGCCAAGGGAAGCACTTGAGGTTGGAATGCCGTCAGCCCAGCTGCCAGAAATCCCCCCCGGAGCATCCCGGGGCGCGGTGATCCCTCCCACCAGGGTGCACAGCTTGATTTAAGCTGGAATAAAACTCCCGATCTTCTGGGATTCCCCATTCCCATTCCGATCCCGGCCTTATTCCTGGGTGGTGACCAACGTGCCAAACCCCATGGGAAGGTCTCAGGAGCCCTGGAGCAGAGGCCCAGAGTTTTCCAGCCTGGAATTTTTAAATGGAACACCACTAGCTCAGGCCCTGTTGGGATTCCAGCTGTTTCCTTGTCCCTGATGGAGAGAAAACGTTCCCAAAAGGAGCTGGGTGGAAATCCAAATCCCAAAGGGCAGAGGAGAGAACATAAACCTGGATGTGGTGGGAATGGGAATCTCCCAGGGACAAACATCCTGGGAGAGGCACCAGGCACAGGGAGGTGTCTGTGGTTTTTGTAGGATTTGGGAATGGGGATGGAAGGTGGATGAGCTGCAGGGTGAGAACCCAGCGGGCGCCCTCCAGGAGCCCCCGTTTCCATCTGGGATCTGTGCTTGGGGATGAGTGGCTGGGAAAGGGAAAGGCTGGAGACAGGGACGGACAGCCAGGATGGAAGGTCTGCTTACAGACAAATCCCTCGGAGAGACGGGCAAAATCTCTTGGACAGGCTTTTCTGGAAGGGCTCCGTCCCTCTTTTCACGGGGAATCAGGGATGGGTTTCTCCCTGAAATTTTAATTTTAACTTCCACTGTCGTTCCAAAGTGAGAACCAAACCTGCTCTGGAGTGAGTTTTGATGGGAATGGGAGCTGCAGCCATCCCTGAAATTCCATTGACATCCCGTGGATATACAGTGTTTGTGTGGGGGAGTATTTAATCCAGGCTGAAGTAAGCCAGGCTTTGTTGTTCCAGTCCTAACTAATATAACTTGACTAAAAAAATAAAGTTGCTGCAGTGGGTTTGCAGAATAAAGCACTTTGAATCTCAGATTTTTTTTTTGTTTGTTTGTTTTTAATTAGCACAGTCCAATTTGCTATAATATTATTTTATACACAAATTTTTTTTTTTTGGTCTGTCTTTATAAACTATTATAAGTGCTATTTTTGTTATAATTCAAAAATAGATATTTAGGATAAAGTTGTGCTGTTAAATATTTGTTATTTAGTAAAAATATGATTTTTTTTTTCCTCTATTGTAAACGTCGTCTGGGAAAAAAATATTAATGTTTTATCCTATTTGTTTTTAATATTAAAAAAAAAGGAAAAAAGCACTTGTGGGGTTTTTTCGTTCGGGAATTGGTGCCGTGTGCGGTTGTGTTGCAGTCATGTGGGTTTTAATATGTACAGAATATTCTGTGTCCCATATTAAAATGAATGTTGTGTATTTTGTGATCCCAAAATAAAACAAAACAAAAAATCACATTCCTGTGGCTCCTTTCTTGAATTCCTGATCAAAAAGTGTTGGAGCTCCCAAGTTTTGGTCTCGTATTCCAACTGCTGCTCCTTTGAAGGCCTCGTGGCCTCTGGGTTTTGGGAGAATCATCCCAAAAATTGGGGCATCCCACAAAGTGGGATTTTGGCTCCATGGCCAAGGTGAACCCTGCTTGGTACAGGCCCAAAGAGAGGAAATTCCACTTAAAAATAAAATAAATTATGGGGACGGTGGTCAGGTCGATGAGTTGAGACATCCAGAGATTGGGAATCCCTGTCCTTGGAGGTTGGGAATCTCTGTCCCTGGAGATTGGGGACCCCTGGAGATTGGGAATCTCTGTCCCTGGAGATTGGGGACCCCTGGAGATTGGGAATCTCTGTCCCTGGAGATTGGGAATCCTTGTCCATGGAGACTGGACATGGTCCTGAGCCACCTGTCCAATGTGAATCCCGGCTGACAGGGACCCCAGTACAGGAAATTTCACTTCAAAATACAAAAAAAAATCCCACAAGATTAAATATTTTTATGGGAAGGATGTCCAGGGATTTGGAGTCTCCATCACTGGAGATGGTCCTGAGGACCCAGACCAAGGTGAGCCCTGGCTGATACAGATCCAAATACAGAAAATTCTACAATAAAATAAAATAAAATAATCTTTTTTGGGGAGGATTATCAAAATTTGGATCAAGTGGGAGTGGTTTGGAGTCTCCATCCCTGGAAACTGGACATGCACCTGAGCCACCTGTCCAAGGTGAACCCTGGCTGATATGGATCCAAATAAAGAAAATTCCACAATAAAATTAAAACAAAATAAAATAATAAAATCTCTTTATGGGGAGGATTGTCAAAATTTGGATCAAGTGGGAGAGGTTTGGAGTCTCCATCCTGGAGATGGGATGTGGTCCTGAGGACCTGGACCAAGATGAATTCTGGCTGATATGGATCCAAATACAGGAAACTCCATAATAAAATTAAATTGAATTAAATTAAATTTTTATGGTCAAGTGTTGAATTAAGTGGGATAGATTTGAAGTCTCCATCCCCGAAGATTGGACATGGACCTGAGCAAGGTGCCACAGCTCTGAGGTCCAACTCATCCCGAGTTTTTGGGAGCTCCAGGATTCTCCATTTCTGCCCAGAGCTTTCTCCTCTTCCCAGGAGGAGAAAGGAGGGAAGGGAAGGCAAATATTCCAGCTGTGTGTGTGTCCTGGTCCTTGCTGCTGGAATTGCTCTGTATGGAATAGACACAGGAGCCCACCACATTTTGGGGTTTTTTTAGCATTTTAAAAGATTTTGTTCCATTGTCAGTCTCGATGAAGGGTGAGACATAAGGGATGTAAAACTCAACACTATTCTATCAAAAACTGACTTACTTCTTAGTTACAACGCTTTATAAATATTTTTCAGCCTATTAACTTTTACTACACAATATGACTATTATTTTTACACTAATCACCTATTATTTTTCCCCCATGTAATCCTACTACAATACATCTTTTACAACTCTAATTCTCTAAAATACCTAAGCTTTTTACAAAGCTATATTTAAAATTTATTAAAACTTACGTTTAACTCTATCTCTCTCTCAACAGTATCACCTCTATTCCACAACCTTCCTAAATCAACACACCTTATCTCAATATTTACATAAAATTTACATAACATTGACATACAAATATACAAAACTAAAAAAAAAAATCCTAAAAATAAAATCCTCAAATCCTAAAAAAAAAAAATCCTAAAAAATCCTGTCAAATTACAAAAAAAAATATTTACAAATCTATTTCTCACACCCAAGGTGGGAATGACCCCATGATGAGCACAGGTAAGCATCTCCCATTTGGGTTCCCATCATCTCCCACC